GTACTGAATATTTTATTATAGTAAATCCAAAACATCTTCATCTACAAAACTAAACTATAGGAACCAACATAAATGCCTACCAGTGAAAGATTAAGAAAATCAATTGTGTCATCTCCATATGAATGAATGTATAATAACAAAAGGTTTTCTTTGTAAGAACGGCTTATTATAGAGAGGGGCTACCCAGAACCCCCTTTGACAGGTGATCTGAATTCTTGGTTAGGCTGCGAGGCTAAGCACTGCAAGGGAATATAAATAAAAGATAAAAATATCTATCTGGGTTTCCTGAGGGACAAGCCTGACTGCATAGAGGTTGATGTCAAAAGTATCCCCTCTCCAAGAAAAAGACATCGGGACGGGTATGGCCCTTATGCCTCACTGGACAACAACAGGGGGACTGGAGCCATTACAAGATCCCCTTCAAATACTGGAGGTCAGGCCTCTATCCCCGCCTTCGCAAGTTTAGAATTGCCACAGCCCTTCTATACTTAGAGAAGGGAGGAGATGTCAGGGGTAGCCCTGCTTACACACTGAAGGCCTAAAATCAGCCATAGGCCTAAATTCAGCAATAGGCCTGTCATACATGTATACTAACACCAAGTCTTGGGTCTCAGTGGAAAAACATTGAAACAGATGGCTATAAGCTATTGTAAACAGGCAGCTTTTGTGGAAATTTACCAGCCTAAGTAGTCATAGACCTTGTAAATAGGTAGCCTTGGCAGACAATACCATCTTAGATAAGGACAAGCGAGTCATAGGCAGAGTCATAGTGAATTGTCCCCTGAACATTCACCCAGCCGATACTGGTTCTGAAGATATCTGTATTCCCCCTGAACACCCACACTCCAGTGTCATTCCCTTCCCCACATCCTGCCTTTCTGTGTTTATAACCCCTGTGTGAATGAATTATGATTTGAGAAAAAATAAATTTAAAAAAAAGTGAAAAAAAAGAATGGCTTATTATTTAGTGATATAGAAACTTTGTGATTTGGACTACTATGGCAGAGACTTTCCCTCACTAAAACAATTAGCTGTTCTTCTGTTTGCAAAGAATTTTTCATATATAGTATTTTCCCTGATTTACTTTTTATTGCTAATGACAAAAACACTAGCTAGCACATAGCTACTTAGGCTTATTTATAATATAAAAGAATCTTAGAGTTAAATCTATGTCTTTTGAGCTATTTAAATCATCCCTACACTTTGTAGAGGACCATGTCTTTAAAAGTATTTTTTTTTCAGTTCCAAAGTGGTATCAAAAGATTATAAATAGTAGAGTAGCTACTTGAACTACAGTTACTCTCAGATTCTGCATTTCAGGAAAACAGTTTAAGGGAAAAATCCAGGGATGAGGAAAGCCAAAGTAGGACATCTAGAGTGAGGGTCCTGGAATTTACAGCCAACCCCTAAGGTTGATGGAGCTCACCTAAGGTGTGATGTAAGCTTGGACTCCAGGGCAGTGTTTTCTTACTCTCTACACAAAATCTGTTGAGTGTAAATATGTCAGAGTCTGGGAAACAAATCTGAGAATCCACATGAGGGATGTGAGGTACCATAAGATGTAAGAGGCTGATGTCATTGCTTTTGTTATATTGAGTTGCATGGGAAGAGAAGGTTGATCCCTGATGCATACTAAAGCTTCCTTCTATTTAAAAATTCAGCAGATACTGATGATACATTGTCAAGATTTGAGAGAATATAAGAAGTGGTGGGACACATAACAGGTATATAGATAGTAACTTCCATATGAGGAACATCTGTTAAGTACAAAAGTCTGAGAAAATCATTATGTACACATTAAATCTTTTCATCCACTCAGTAGTCCTAGGTAGTGGTTTGATTGGTTTATGAGGGCACAAAGCCTAATGGAGCTCATTTAGCCAACCTGAGTTCATGCCATTTTGTATATAAAAGTAAAAGTCAACCCAAACTACAAAGTTTTTAGCAACCTTACTGTGATGTTTTTGACATGTATCTATTGTGTATGCTGGATTGGATATAATAAAATACTAGCAAATTCACCAGTACACCAAAAGAATTTTTATTGGGAACAAGTAGGATTTATTTCAAGAGTAAGATGGTTGTTGAACATATGCAAATCAAAGTGTAGGATAAGCCATCAGCAGGGTGAAGGACAAACCCTAAATGATCTTCCCAGAAGATGCAGGAAAAGTTCTATACATTTTCATAACAAAGACTTTCAAAACCTAGGCATAAAAGGAACTTACCTCACTATAACAAAGACTGTGTGAAAAAACTCAAAGCTAGCACCACAATCAATAGATGTTGAGTTCAAAGCCAAAGAATAACATTTTCTGACATCAAATTATACTACAGTTTTATGATAAACAAAAAGTCTAAGGGTATCAGTATAAGCAAGCAAATAAATGAGTAGGACCAGAGACCGCAGATATAAAGACATTTATAGTCAGCTGACCATCAACAGAGGCACCAAGAAAACACAAAGAGAAAAGATGGTCTCTTCAACAAATTTTGTTTTAAATATTATATATTTACATCCAAAATGTTCCAGCAAATTTAGAGGCTAGCTCAAAACACATAAAAATCAACCAAAAATCAGTCAAAGAATCAAACAGAAATTGAAGAACCAGCAGGCCGCAGGGGAAAATCTTGGCACTGAGCTTGATAATAACTTTAAAGCCATACAACAAAACTTCCAGATAACAAAAGCAAAATCAAACAGTTGGGAGTAAAACAAACTAAAACATCTCTATACAGCAAATAACTTGTAATGGGTGAAAAACGCTTGCAATCTATGTATTTCATAAAGGACTATTAGTCATTTATACAAAGAACAATCACAACAAAAATATAAATATCTGTATTATAAAATGTACAAAGGTTTCAATTTAAAAAAAAGTTAGAGTCAACAGACATGACAAAAAGTCCTCAGCAATTCTAAGGGTAATATAAATCAAACCTACAAAGAAGTAGCAGAGGCGGATGCTCACAGTCAACCATTGGACTGAGCACAGGGTCCCCAATGGAGGAGTTAGAGAAAGGACTGAAAGAGATGAAGGGGTTTGCAAGCCCATAGGAAGGACAACAATATCAACCAACCAGACCCCCACCCAGAGCTCCCAGGGACTAAACCACCAGCCAAAGAGTACACATGGAGCGACCCATGGCTCCAGCCGCATATGTAGCAGAGGATGGCCTTGTAGGGCATCAATAGGATGGAGGAGAGGCCCTTGTTCTTGTGAAGGCTTGATGCCCCAGTGTAAGAGAATATCAGGACAGGGATGTAGGAGTGAGTGGGTGAGTGGGTGGGTGGGTGAGGAGTGGGTGAGTGGGTGAGAGAGTGGATGGATGAGTGGGTGGTTGGGTAGGAGAACACCCTCATAGAAGCAGGGGGAAGAGTGTGGGATAGGAAGCTTCCACGTGGGGAAACCAGGAAAGGAGATAACATTTGAAATGTAAATAAAGAAAATACCCAATTAAAAAAAACTCTCTTAAAAAAGAAAATAGAGGAAAAAGAAGCAAGTACTGTCAAATCTGCAAAGAAACGTGATTATCATTGTGCTACTATATGACAAAGTCGTGCTCCTCTTGCTCAGTTATTTTGGTTATTTACCAGCCATTTTTATTGTTCCATATGAATTTTAAGATTGCTTCTTCTATTCTTATAAAAATAAAACTAAATTAAAAAGTGATTGGCTAAAAAGGTAAGTTTAATGACATGCATATCCTACTGCAATGAAATTTTCAAAAAGGTATCGTTGGCATTTTGGCAGATATTAGCATTGATCTGAAAGTATATTTTGACACTCATTATGAGAACACTAATTCTGACTGAGGCGCATGGTCCCCAATCATTTGTCTTTTCAGCTTTTCTTCATGAAGATTTTATAGTTTTCAGCATACAGGTCTTTCTTCCCCTTTGCTAAGTCAAATCTCATGTATCTTGTTGCTTGAGTAAATGGAATTGTCCTCTTATTTCCTTTTCGGAGATTTCTGTGTTAATGTATTCTACAAACAACACTACTGATTTTCCATTTTTGCTTTGTATCCTGTCAGTTTGCATCATCTGGTTTCTAGCTCCAATAGCTCTTTGTGGTGGAGTCTTCACTGCTGTCTATCTAAATGGGAAGACCATCTATAACACATATAATGTTACTTATTCCCTTCTTATTTGAGGCTAGGACTGCTAATCTATGTTCAATAAAAGTTACAATATTGGGCATCCTTGCTTTGTTCCAGACCATAGAAGTAGACATTTTAATTTCTCTGCATCTGCTGAGATGATTGTTGTGGGTTTTCTTTCGTTACTATGGTATGGTGTGTTAACTAATCTTATCTTAGATCTTTTTCACTGACTTCATAATATTTCTTAGTGTTTGGTTCTACTGGTTGACTATTTTGTAAACATTTGCACATAAGAATAGTTATGCTCTGTATTAAGCCATCTAATCCTTTTAAGGAATTGTTAAATTTGGTCTAATACAGGGGGTTAAACTAAATATTCATGAGAAATACTAGCCTCAAGTTTTCTTTTCTGCTCTGTTACCTTTGGTTAGATAGGAATTGAGGGGTGCATACCTCATAAAGTATGTGTGTGCTCTTCTGGTTTTTGAAAGAGACAGAAAGACTTAGCACCAAATTCTCTTTGAGTGTTTGAGAAATTCACCTATGCAGCCATATGGTCCTGGATCCTTTCAGTTAAAGTTTTGATTACAAATTTAAATGATCCAGATCATTGCAATGTTCACACTTTTTGTTTCTCCTTAAAGTTGCAGCTCTCTAGAAATTTATCTATTTCTATCTTTTCGCCGGGGCTATCTACTCTGCTGCTGTATATTTATGGTGGTCCCCTAGGAGCTTCTAAGTTTTCAGCCATTTAGCAAACATGATTTGGGGCTAGGAGGCTTAGAAATAAAATTTCACCACCTAAAAGGTTTAATTTACACTTGTTTGTTGGAGAGTCTCTGTGTGTCCATGAAAGGTTACCACTTATGTCTTTCTCCTCTCTCACCTTGTAGGATCACAACCACAGCAGCATGCATGATGGATCTTCGAAGATACCCTCTGGATGAGCAAAACTGCACCCTGGAGATTGAAAGTTGTGAGTTACTTGCAAAGGGGATGAGAAAGAGGGATATTTACTTGACCCAATTAAATTCAACACTTTTCGGAGTTAATTGGCACTGGGATATTTTTAGCTGCCACCTTTTCAAGGAATTCACAGTCAGTGACATTTTCCCTAGTATTGATGATTCAAGGGTCATTTCAGCGACATTATCTCTTTGGCCAATTAAGGAAAGTCTGCTTATTTTAATTCATAAATTTATAAACCCATGCCTTCTTCACCTTCTCTCATAACCTTCTAGTATCTAAGCTTCATTTGGTGAAAAAAAGAAAATATTTACTCATCTGTTAACCTGAAGGATTTGTAAACAGCATTTTAGAAAAACACCATGAGAGAGCCATGGGTTAATGGTGTTTTTACTAGTGAAAAATATATAACTGTAAATGGCGCATCAATGGGCTCATGCTTTAGGTCAAAGAGTTAATATTTTCCATGGCTGTGGACTGATTTTGGTCTGTACTATAAGGATGTTATTTATTAACTGTTTTCTCAATAACACGAGCACTTTATTCACTGAGATCTAACCTGAGAAGCTACCCTTGTTTTCCGGCCTTCAACCTATAGGCATTTGAGCCAGTTCACTGTGAAAAGTAGAAACAGATGTTTTATTGGTTTTGAGAGTCACAAAAATATACAGGAGTTAACATTATCACTTATTCAAATGTGAAAATTCAGCAGATATGTATTTTGGGCATCTAAAATACTTTCTAGGGCTAAATGTCAAGAAGGAAAGGGAGATGAAAAACTGCCAGCTGACCTTACATTGTTATTAAAGAATGAATTGTTTCTCTACTATGCTAGTAAACTTTCCAGTCTCATCATATATAAATAAAACTGTTCCTATAGAGATAGTGCTAAATATAGACGTACCCATCATCCTACTACCAACAACATGAATAAAAAATTCAGAAATGATCGTCAACTACTATTTTAATATCAAAGATCATAAGGAACATGGTAAATACCAAAAGTATCTTTTACGATAGCATTAGTGTTGACTTGGTTGACACACCAAAATGACCAAATTGGAAACATAAACATGATCATTTATTAATAACTGATAATAATTTATAAGTAAAACACAACTTTTGTTCAGCAAACAAATCATTACCTTTGAAACTGGGGTAGAAATAGCAGATTAGCTGATGGCTTGGTGACAGATCTGGGTTTTCGGTCACCTCTGACTATCTGTCAACTGGTTTTGTGATTTTTCCGGAACTCTGGCTTCTTTTGGAAAACTTCATGATCTGAAACTGTCATAAAAAAAAAAAATTCTAAGATCCTCGGCATTCATTGTTCAGCTAAGAAGCAGTGAATTTTGCAAAGTAATTGAACTGATTCTGTATTAAGATTTATCAGTGTATTTTCCCAAAATTCCTAATTTTTTTTACAATGCATAGTGAGTTTTCCTACTTTGTAGATTGACATTTTTCTAAAGATACCATATTTCTTTATTTATACTGGAAAGTATGTAATTCAACCCATCCATCATACCATGTAATGATCAAAATAACAAATAAGGCAGAAATTAAATGTTGCCTAAATAGAATCTATAGAGGCAAGGACATAGTAGAAACTCAAACCTACACAAGAACTGCGGGCCCATTGCCTTCTATGTGTTAAACTAACAGCACAGAACCATATGACACCTCTCAGATAAAAGCACTGTGACAACATCTGACAGTTAGTATCTAGGATGCAGAAGAACTAAACTAACCAAAGGCAAGGATGGTGGAGGGATGGGAGGTCAAGGTACTTTCACAAGCCCAGTTCTACTTTACCACAGACCTCTGCCATAGACAGGTGAGGAAGGAAGCAGGCTCTGTGACTGCTACACCTGCTCTCAGCCAGGCCAGGAACCCTGTATTAAGCAAAAACAGGACAGGTCTAGATTTCCCAATATTGTCTCTGCTAAAAGTCAGAACAGATCCAAGAAGATGAAGCAGAATTTGGCTCCTAGGTCAAGCGCCAAGTATTTATAGCTGAAAGGTATAAATGTATAGTGTATACCCGAAAGGGGCCAGGGTATATTGTAGAGCCAGCAAACTGAGCAGGTCTTGATTCCACTGAAGACATGTGCACATAGTCACCCAGAAGGCTCAGAGCTGCATAGCTCTACAGTATGTTGAAAATATCTTTCTCTTAACAGTTGACTAACAGATGTAAAGAAATGTAAAATATTAAGAATAAAACTATTATGTTACACAGGAAAAGATGCCAAAAATTATGGAGTCTATATTTACTTGTTGACTTTTTTTGCTTTGCTTTTTTGATTTTTAACCTAAATACAAAACAAACTGGCTATCCCTTCATGGTTTTTAACTCCCCATAACTGTATCATTTTATGAAATAGCTCCTCCTCAATTGATATCATATTGGACTCAGCTTTAATGAGTCTAATGTCAGTTAGATTATAAGAATGATAAAGTAGGCATTGCTCAATATAAGACTGAGCCAATCAAACTTTTCAGTGACTAACCAAATGGAAACATTGCCTACATTTCAGATTTTACTAGTTTGTATGTGCCTCCCATTAAAGCTGGGGAAATGTTTTGCTTGGTTGGATCCTTTGAGACAGAATAAAGACATTTTGCTTATTTTTTTAATTTTGTAATTATATTTATGTCCAGAAAACTTAGAAGTGTACATTTAACCCAGTTTAGTGGCAAGTTCTCTAGCCTTTTCCTTTTCTAGCTTAGCATTGCAAGCCACAAACTTAGGACCCAGGATGCTGCCTCCCCAGTGGCAGCGGATCTCGTCCTGTCTGTCCTTGTAATTGGTCCTAATAGCTTCCACCAGGTTAGCCAGAGCACCCTTGTCTTCGGAGTGAACTTGTGTGAAGGCCAACTGTGGTGCAAGTCTTCCTGTGGACCAGGTGACCCAGCCTGGCCTTTCCCTTGATGATGCAGCAGGGCACTCCCATCTTTTAACACAGGGCAGGCAAGAAAACCACCAGCTCAATGAGGTCTACATCATGGGCATTCAAGGTGGTGACTATATTGACTCCTGCTGGGATGACAGATGGTCTCTAACTTGAGACATCCCCTTTGCCAGCAGCTTTCTTCTCAGCACGGGCCAGTAGCTTTTGCTTCTTCTCTTGCTTTGTCTCTGGCCTGTACTTGTGGGCAAGCTTACGCAGCTGCGTAGCTGTTTGCCTGTCCTGGGCCTGGGTGAACTGGTTAATAGCAGGGGGTACTTTGAGATGGTTATAGAGGATGGCTCTTTGCCGCTGCAGCCTGATGTATCGGGGCCATTTGACAAAGCACGTGAGATCTCTTTTGGGCTGGACGCTCTGTCCAATGCCAAAGTTCTTGGGCCTTTTCTCAAACAAAGAATTGTCCACCTTTTTGGCCTCCTGCTTCTTCATGACAGTGGAGACTGGGCCCACCTTCTTCCCCTTGGCCTTCTTTCCTTTGGGCATCTTGCTTGGCTGGAGGAGAGAGAATTTTGCTTATTTTTAATGCTATCTAAGTCCAGTATAAGGATTCAGTTTAGGATGAGTTTATTGAGGTTACTAGTAGGTTACGCATCCCTGAAAGGCCTGCCCAGCATGGGTGATGATGACTCACAAGAGCTAGCATCCCCCAGCTAGCACCCCTGAGCTAGCATCCCCGGAGCTCTCTGCATGGACCTTTGCAGCAGCACAGCTGCTCAGTACCGTGTCTCAGCATGTATTATCACTTATATAAAGTTGGGAATGGTCCTTGTGAATCTTGTAAGTTTCAAACTACCCTGAGACTTGTGAACCTAGTTTACTTCCTAAACCTTGTAAGTTTGGTTTCCTTTCTGAATCTCAAAGACTGTCCCTCTTGGAGGGAATATTTCAATTCAAAGAAGCCCCGGGTTCTTTCAAACTGCTCTGGTTTATTTTGTTGCTGCTGCTGCTGCTGTTTTTCTATGCTTTAAATGTTTCTGTCTCCCTAAATTCATATCGGAACCTATTCATCAGAGTGATGCAATGATAAAGGTGGGATAATGAGTGGAGCTCACTTTAAAGAAGGTATTTCCCAGAGAGTCTCCTTATCCATTTCAGTCACTATATTAGGACATAACCAAAAGCATCACATGAAAGAGACAATGAACCCTCACCAGACACCAGAACCTGTCAGTGCCTTCATTTTGGACCTCCCACAGTACAGAACTATTAAATCTTTGGGGTATTAATCTCTGCTGTTTATGAAGTGCATAGTTTGTTTTACTAATTTTAGCATCTCCGCATCCCCTAGGGACTGAGATATGAATGTAGCACTTGGTAGTACTTCATCATTTCCTTTGCCCTGCTGGTCATAAAGTAAAGAGGAAAGAGTTCATTACGTGGTTCACTGCCCATTTGTTAAAAGATTAATTTCTGGTAAGAAATCTGTAAGGATAGTGTATTTCTTAAGTATCTCCAATAAATTTTGATGTGTTGCTTTAATTTTCAACTCCTCATATCTGAACCTGCAATCCAGCACGCCTTCTTTTGAACAATTGCATATTTGTGTCTTAAAATTACCTCAAAATGGTGATAAGTGTGCCACCTGAGAGCAAGGTAGCAGAAAACCTAGTACTCTAATTCCTTCAGTGGATAACATCATGATTTTGCCTTATCATAATCTATAAACTGCCTACACATTACCTGTATAAACTACCATCAGGCAGCGGTAAAGTTCAGTGACACCTGGTTGTTTCCTTAGGGGTTGCATAATGAAAGCATTGCCTTCATGTACTAAGTTTAATGGACCACTCAATCTGTTAGTCATACAATGGTACCATTCTACTTAAACGCTTGTTTGTAGCAATGTATACACAGAATTCTAAGCAATTGTCATGTTTGATTATAAAACAAATTTTATGAAATAAAATTGTTTTCTCATCCACAAACATGACTGATTAAATGTACCCAACAACTTAACCTACTATAAATTATTTTTAAGAAATTGATATTTTTGCAGAATTTAAGTGCTAAGTTTTACTTATGTAATATAATATAACAA